GGGCCCTGCCCTCCAGCTGGGACTTGCAGGTGGCAATGAGAGGACCCTGTCCTTTCATTAGTCCGAGGCTTGGACCTGGCCAAAACACCGTAACCACGCCCCACAGTTATGAATCGTAATGTAAGTATCTGAAATGCAGGATGATCTTAGGCGACCCCTGGAAAGGGTCGTTTGACCACCAAAGGGGTCGCGACCCACAAGTTGAGAACCACTGCCCTACCTGGTTTGGCTCAGTAGTGTCAGCCTGCAAACCGAAGGAAGGGTCCTGGGTTCACTACTGCATGGACCTCGGTTACAGGCTGGATTCCTATCCCAGGTTGGACACGTGGGAGGCAACCAATTGGTGTCTCTCTCACAGTTGTTTCCTTCTCTGTCTCTCCCCCTCCCTTCCATTCTCTCTAAAAAATCAATGGAAAGCCCCGGCTGGTGTGACTAAGTGGATAGAGCGTTGGCCTGCGGACTGAAGGGTCTCGGGTTCGATTCCGGTCAAGGGTACACGCCCAGGTTGTGGGCTCAATCCCCAGGGTGCGGCGTGCAGGAGGCAGCCAATCAATGATTCTCTCTCATCATTTATGTTGCTACCTCTCTCTTCCTTTCCCTTCCTCTCTGAAATCAATAAAATATAAAATTTTTAAAAATCAATGGAAAAAGATCCTCGGATGAGAATTAACAAAACAAAAAAGTTAAGAAAATGCTAGACATTTATATATAGTATCTACATAAAAATGATAAAAACCTCTCCTGAACAAGGAGTGCATATAATGTAAATTTAAAAAAAATATGCCCCACAGATGATTGGCAGTAGACAAGTAGTCTTAGCTGTAAAGCTAAGACTAAGGTATTTATTTGTTACATTATTATCAGAACCAGAAATAATCAAACCGTGGCTTCAGAGTAAGAATTAACCTAATTTTTGTACCCCTTTAACCAGCTCTACCTACCCAGATTTTTGGTTTAAATAATTTGTTCTGGCAAACTAATTTTTTATTAGGGGATAGTTTTTTAAATATATTTTTTAATTGGTTTCAGAGAAAAAGGGAGAGGGAGAATCATTGTCTGCCTCCTACACGCTCCGTACTGGGGATTGAGCCTGCAACTGGGGCATGTGCCCTGAGCAGGAATCGAACCTTGAACTCCAGGGTCATAGGGCAACCACTAAGCCACGCTTAATAGGCCATTAGGGGACAGTTTTAACATAGAATATCTCAGAACAGCTCATTTAAGAGTTTACTAGGCATAAGCCAACCGCAGGATCTCTCAAATGTGGAATCTTCTATCTACTTAATAATTTGGGAAACTTAATCTTGTTAAATTCTGACAAGTTGAGTTTATATAAGCACTTCACTTTTAGTAGCATAAACACATTTATTTAAAAAACTTCACTTAAGTGTCATGTTTTTTGGCTACTTCTGATGTGTCCAAAAAAAGGGAGAAATAGGCTGACACAAAATAACACCTAGCACAATACCTGTTCACATACAGTAGGTATTGGAATATGTTTGGCAATTGAAAAAGTCAAAATGAGAACTTAAAACTGGGTTACTTCAAAGCAACCCAAATATTCCTAAACTACATGTAATACACAATCAAGCAATCCATCATTCAGTGTGTTCTTATGATTTGTATTGCATTATTTGAAGCATAAAAACTAGTTTAATAGCTTACTGTAAAAGTAACAATGAAGCAGCTAATAATCACTACATAAAAAGATTACAGATTTATAAATAGAATCTCGTTCTAATAATAATGACTGCTACAGGCAGTCACTGAAAAATTTAACTATTATACTCCCCTTAGAATTTAGTTTTGAGTACAAAAGTTACACTAGCTTCCACATAATTAGGGAAAAAAATTATTGAAAGTTTTGATATAAAGTAGAAGCCAAAATGATTTATTTCTCAAGTTAGTAATCAAATGAAGGCTTTTTACTTCCAAACAGAGAATGGCTTATTCATAAAATAGGAATTAAATATGACAAAATATAAAATCATAAGCTAGTTTCTGATATTTTAAAGAATATTTACCTTAAAACAACCAAGTATAATTGTAGATAATTATGTAAAAGACTTTCAAATGAAGTTCTCACACCAAAAAGTGTAAAGCTTTTAAAACAATGAATATAAAACCAACTAAAGACCATTAAAAGTAGATGCATAATAGGCAAATGTTTGATTTTCCTTGACATTGAGAACAATAGGAAACAAGCTTGAAATATATGGCATTTAGTTTAAGATATTTAAGACATACACATATTTACAAAGGATTATAGCATTATTCCTTTTTAAAATCAACATTAGTAAGAATTGTGCACTGGCTATAACAATAGAAAAAAACCGTAATACCAGTTGACATTGTAACACTGCAGAAAACAACCTACAAGTTTCTCTGATATGCCCTGATTAAACAGATTAATCTTTAAAACATCATACTAATGTAACATCCTTAAATGGCATGCAGAAAACATTTTTCAATATGAATACTTATGCTTCAGTTTAAACTGTTCCTATCCTATGATTATTTATACCACCTTATCCCGAAGGCCTTGTCTACACATAAAATCAGTGAAAGGAGGAATTGAAATACCATAATGTTTTTAATTGTAGCCAAACCAAGCGCCCTTCTCCTCTCCCATCCCTCCCCACCTAAAAAGTGACAGTAATCATCAGCTAAATTACTGCTGCAGGGGAAATTAATTAAAACTACAAATAACCAGAAATTTATTTAGATTTTGTTTGTACTATTTTAGTGGCTTTTTTAAAAAGATTTTTTTTGAGTTTTATTTTTTTAAAATATATTTTATTGATTTTTTTATAGAGAGGAAGGGAGAGGGATAGAGAGCTAGAAACATTGATGAGAGAGAAACATCAATCAGCTGCCTCCTGCACACCCCCTACTGGGGATGTGCCCACAACCGAGGTACATGCCCTCGACTGGAATTGAACCTGGCACCCTTCAGTCCGCAGGCCGACGCTCTATCCACCGAGCCAAACCAGTCAGGGCTTTAGAGGCTTTTTAAAGTTCATAAAACTGGGTAGATTAAAGAATGAAGTAGCCAATCTATCAAAACATTTTAAATAAAAGCTATACGGCAAGTTTGAGGTTTATATTAGATATTCAAACCCTTTTTTAATAATAGGTCCTTTTAATTACTTTCAGTAATCTAAAAATTTAACAAAAGACAAAGAAATACCTTAATGTTCTTAAACATTTTAAATGAAAGTGAAACTTTAATTTGCTGGGTCTGTTAGTAAGTATAACAAAGAAAAGTACACTAAGACTATGCTTTAGTTTTCTTTTGGTATTAATAGATATATTACCAATGTCAAATCAATCCCTTTATTTTTCTTTACAAATATCAGTAACTGCCCTGGCTGGCATGCTAAATGGTTAGAGCACTGGCCCAAGCATGGAAGGGTCTCAGCTTCAATCCCTGGCTGGCTGAGGCATGTGCAGGTAGCAGCCAATCAATGTCTCTTTCTCGCATCAATGTTTCTTTTTCTCTCTTTCCCCTTCTCCCTCCCTCCCACTCTCTCTAAAAAATCAATGTCAAAAATATCCTCAGGTGAGGATTAACAACAACAAAAATCAATAACTTAGGAATGTTTCTCAGGGAAAATGAGAATATGATGATAGCTGACACCTATTTTGTGTATCAGGACAAATGAGGCCCTAGACGGTTTGGCTCAGCAGATAGAGCATCAGTCTACGGACTGAAGGGTCCTGGGTTCGATTCTGGTCAAGGGCACTTTCCCGGGTTGCCGGCTCAATCCCCAGTAGGGGGCGTGCAGGAGGCAGCTGATCAATGATTCTCATCATTGATGTTTCTCTCTCTCTTTCTCCCTCTCCATACCTCCCTGAAATCAATATTTTAAAAAAAGAAAAAGAAGAAAACTGTGGTTGCAGCTAAGCAATTTACGTCTCATATGATTTACTTTGGTGGAAAACCCATTTATATTTGATAACATTATAGAAATTAGACTTTTCCAATTTCTTCTTTTGTGAAAGTGTATATAATTATGGTGACATGACTATGGATCGGGACATAAACTTCAAATTGTTCTTACATAGTTTCTTGTTACTTTTAGTAAATGGAACAAAAGAGTTTGTAGAAGGAAAGGCGGAAACACATCAGTTAATTCTGCATGGTGAGATTAGCGTGGGTTTTCCATTCTATTTGTATTTCTTTCTTACATATTTCTACATTACCTATAAAATAACAGATACCACTGGCCGGTTAGCTCAGTTGGTTAGAGCGTGGTGCTAATAAAATAACAGATACCTTTCAAGAGCAAAAAGAATAGCAGGAAAGCAATGGTGCGAGCTTACCTATCATACTATCATCTTAAAAATAAATACCTGTCAAATAGCCAAACCACCATATGACAACCCACAGATATCATTCAGATACCTGAAATGAGTATGGATCTAACATGGGGAAAAACTCCTATGATTAAAGCCAAGGCTTTAAAGAATACACTTTTTAATATATTTTTATCCACCTCAGGAGTATTTTTAAGACTATGGAATGTCCATAGATTATAGAATATTTGTGCAATTCCGCTTTTTCTGTAATACGTACTTCCTTAGGCATAATCTAATTGCAGTGTGGGTCTATTTTAATATAATCAGTAATCTAAAAAAACATTTTTAACAACCAATTTAGTGCCATCCTAGAAAAGGATATATGTAACACATACCCCAGAATATGCCTTTGATTTATATAACAGAATTTATCAATTAGCTTTTCCATTTAATGCTTTAAAATAAAATAATAATTAGAAATGTGGCATCCTATAGCTAATCCAAATTTACAAAAATAGTGAGTACAAGTTTTTTTCTTATATATACCATGCTACTATGCTTGAAAGTCTAACAGCCATTCTAAAAAAATTTATATTGAACATTATAAAGCATGTATACTAACAAAATAGAAAAACATCATCAACTTTAAATGGTATACCTTAACAAAATTTTTTTAGTTTAAATGGCCAAAACATTCCTTAATATTCACATCATAAATTTTATTGGACCAAGAAGCTGACAAGTTTGTTCAAAAGTGATAATGGACAGATTTCTGAAACAAAAATATCAATAGCAGCTTTAAAGAAGCATCTCTTTGTTCAAAACATCTTAATGTCCAATGTAGTGAGAGCTTTCTTCTTTTTCTAGTCTTAAAGTGTTTCTTATGGAAAAGTCCATTTTTTCTTGAAATTCTTTATATGTATTGGTAATTGGAAGAGCTAAACAGTTATTACACTTGTTTCCAACAGGAAAATCCATATGAAGACACTCAACTGAAGGAGTGGGTTTAAATCCAGCAGGTGGAATGGAATTGCAACCAGTTGCAAAAATAAGAATATCTTCCAATGTTGTTGCAGATTTACCATCTGAAAAGTTTACCAAGAAGAAGAAAAATAAGTTCATTATATATTGCTACCATCATAGACTCTTCCCCATCTTGACTGGGAATGTTGAAAGGCAGAGATTCCCACATCTATGTTGGGCAAACTAAATAACTAAGTAAAGTGTGGTAATAGGAAAACAGTACATTCAATAAATGTTTGAATCTCAAAGTAGGACTCACAAAATCACTTAGTTGACCTACTCATTGTATATTTGAATGCCTTCTCTAATATAAAGTCATCAGAATCCAAGAGGTTCAGTGGATTATGAAATTCCGTCTTTTGGGGATATAATATTCTAAAAACAATTAATATATCATACACTACTTCTAGGTTATTATAGTCAGGCACTGCATATTTTAAAAATTCCTGTTGCCATAACCGGTTTGGCTCAGTGGATAGAGCGTTGGCCTGCAGACTCAAAGGTCCCAGGTTCGATTCCGGTCAAGGGCATGTACCTTGGTTGCGGGTACATCCCCAGTAGGAGGTGTGCAGGAGGCGGCTGATCGATGTTTCTCTCTCATCGATGTTTCTAACTCTCTATCCCTCTCTCTTCCTCTCTGTAAAACATCAATAAAATACATATATATAAAAAAAATTCTTGTAGCACACTGGTTGAAAATCACTTAATTAGTTCAATAAATGCAGAGAAAAACTAAACTGTGTAAAACAACAACAATAATAAAAACTTGTCTGAAAGAAGATTCAACTTAAAGTTAAAATATTTTCCACTCTATTAAACAAAAAGATTTTACATTGCTAATGCTCAATGATAAACATCAATATCATAGTCCTAACCAATGGGTGAGTAATTAACAAGTTTGAGAAAGATGAAACAATTAGCTTTTATACTATTCTATGCAGTGGCCATCACCCATATATTTAAAATTCCTAGGAAGACTTCCTCTTACCTCAAATTATATTAACAAAAACGTTGTAAAATATAATTTTATTCTTAACCTTTCCTCATCAATTTCAACTCAATCACACAAACTTATTTTTAAATGTTTTGTAAATATGGAGTTAGCCAATGAAAATTCTTATTATCAAAATGCAAAACTCAAAGAAATAAACTAATATACTGAAACAAACATTCTAAGACAGTTAGATAAAAATAAAACATCCACATACCCTCAACAGCCTGTAAGTAACTGTTCCAAAATCCCAAAGACTGTGCGTCACATGTGTGTACTGTAAAAAGATCTCTAAGTATTTTTGCAGAAAGATTCTCAGGTTTATGACAGAAGATGCTATAAAATGCTTCTGGATAAGTCTGAATTTTCTCCAAAACTCCAAGAGTTTTCAGACCCTGCTTAAAACTTAAGAGAAGAAAAGTACTGAGAGAACATTCATACATGTGTTTGATATTACAATAGGGAATTAACATTTCTAGCTTTATTTTTAAATCCCAATTTACCTTCTATTTAAAAAGTCACACTACTACTTTTTTGAATAGTTACCTCTTAAGATTTTAATAGGCAAATTTAAAATCTAAAGTGAATCAATGTGCAGTAGTCCCGCCTTATTGGGAGATATGTTCCAAGACCCCTAATAGCTGCCGAAACTCTGGGTAGTACTGAACCCTAATATACTATTTTTCCTATATATACATAACTTTCTCCTTAGTAATCAACTTCTTTAATTCTGCTGGAGATATGGCAGTACTTTCTTCATGGGCAGATAGCCTCTCCAGTAATTTTTGTATTTTTCAGTCCAAACCTATTCCTGCATCTGTGCGACCATCCCTTACTTGCAGTAAATGGTTTGGTGACATTTGTTTCAGGGATTCCTTACTGAAGTCTTCATATAAGTGCAATGCTTTCTGGTGCAACGTGTTGTCATCATTCAGAACAAGTTTTCTGTTCATGTCTCCCACCCATAATTTAATATATTTTCCATCTTAACTAAGCATTTTTCACGCACTGTGGCTATAACTTTTGCAATTTGAGGTGCAATACAGGAAAACTAGGATGAATTTTTATCCTTCTTCACAATTTCACAGATTTGTTCTTACTATAAATCGTAGCAACTCAACATGATTTTTTCTTTCCTTATTGAGGTTGAGAATGTTCGACTTTTCACTTAAAGCAGTGGTTCTCAACCTGTGGGCTGCGACCCCTTTGGCGGTAGAACGACCCTTTCACAGGGGTCACCTAAGACCATCCTCCATATCAGATATTTACATTACAATTCATAACAGTAGCAACACTGCAGTTATAAAGTAGCAACGAAAATAATTTTATGGTTGGGTCACAACATGAGGAACTGTATTTAAAGGGCCAGAAGGTTGAGAACCACTGAAAGAACCGCATTATGGCTTCTCTTTGGCAATCTGAATTTCCAGTATTACTACTCTTGCACGCTAGGGCCATTACTAAGTAAATAAGGGTTACTTGAATCCAAGCAATGCAATATTGTGACAGTCCATCTGAAAACCATGATGGCTACGAAGAGGCATGGATAAGGTGGATAAAAGAATGATTTACATCTCAGGGAGGGCAAGATTTCTCCATGCTTCTCAAAACAGTATACAATTTAAAATTTATGAATTCTTTATGGAATTTTCCACTTAATATTTCTGAACCATGATTGATCAAGAATAACTGAAACTGAGAAAAGTGAAACCATGGATGGGGTTTGGGAGGGACTCGTGTTTACCCTCTTCCTAAACAATACAAAGACCTTACAACACTTAAAACTAATTGCTCTCACTCTTCTTATGCCAGTTAAAAATTCTTCTTAGTTTCATAAATTCCCAAAGTAAACATTTTTGTACAATTAGTTGCTCTGTTTACCAATTTCTTTACCATTCCTTCTCACTAGCAACCCTCCCTGATAGAATCGTTTACCTCTTGTATCCAGTAACCTTGCTAAACACTTTATAGAAGAATTTCTTACATTATTTTAGGTTAGACAATCATGCAGGCTACAAATGATAATTTTAGTTCTTCTAATCCTTAGTAACATTCACTTATTCATTTGGTGTTGTTGCTCTGCTAGGGTCTTCAGCATATTGTGGAAACGAAGAGAGTAATTATTTATATTCGAGGCTTCCTTTTATAAACCCTTTTCAAAAACCAATACTTTAATCACTGCTATTTTAGACCTTCACTAATTATTTGTATGCTTAAACTTATTAACTCCTTTGAGACATGTTTAAAGGTACGAATAGATTCAACTATTCAATGTTCCTAAAGAATTTGTTCTTTTTTACACTATTATTAGGGTCATTTAAAGACAAGACTTCTTTTTAAAGATTAGAATCTCATTAATTTATTTTGTGTTAAAGTCATTTCTTTAAAATGCAATTTAAGATCCTATCTTTTTAATACACAAAAGTCTAAGCTATTTATGTGTCATTCTTACCAATCTAAATTTAGAGTATTTTCCTACTTTATAGTGTGCTTTCTCTGAACATGTGTTTTCTTTGCTTGTTTTTATCCTATTTTCTGTCCATTATCTTCTTTTTTTAAAATATATTTTTAATTGATTTTTTAATAGAAAGTGAGAGGGATAGTCAGAAACATCGATGAGAGAGAAACATTGATCAGCTGCCTCCTGCACACTCCCTACTGGGTATGTGCCAGCAACCAAGGTACATGCCCTTGACCGGAATCGAACCTGGGACCCTTGAGTCCACAGGCTGATGCTTTATCCACTGAGCCAAATTGGTTAGGGCTCATTATCTTCTTTATTTCACCCCCAGACCTCACCAACCTGGTTTGGAAGTTACATACGCTCTTCCTGTTATTTTAGAACATAACTTAAAAGATACATACTTGATTTAATAATCTAAAGCTAATTGATGCTTCCTCATTACTACCTCAGCAATACAAGTCCCTTAAAACAATAAACCCAACAATATCCATTCTCTTCTTACAGATTAATTTTTCACTAATATTTTAATTATTTTAACCATTTTACCAAAATTTAGTTGTTTTTTAATGGCCAATGCTCATTTTTATTTATTCATATTTTCCCCATACCTGTGCTCACTGCTGCTTCTTGTATCTTTTTCTTTCTAGGTTCAGTTTTTCTTCCCTAAATATGTACTTAATCTCTTTAGGAAAAAATAAACTGTCTCCAAATGTCTATTTCTCTCACTCTTGAATGATAATGTAACTAGTTTGTGAAGTTATTACCAGGGCTATCTGTTTTCATTGTTGACATTACTGGAAAAACACACACCACAAAATGCTTCCAGTATAACTCATTTTTACAAGTGTCTTTTGGCTCAAGAATGCAGTTTCACCACAAACTACACTACTTTGGCTCATTAAGCCCTGTGATCCTCAAGAACTTTTTCTGCAGCATTTTCTATTTTATTTTATTTTATTTTATTTATTTTATTTTACTTCATAATCCTCACCTGAGAATATGTTTTTATTGATTTTGGGGGAGAGAGAAGAAGGGAGAGAGAGAAACACTGATGTGAGAGAAACATTGATTGGTTGCATTCTGGAAGCCTCCTGACCAGGAATTATATCCTCAACCTTTTGGTGTATAGGATGACACTCGAATTAACTGAGCCTCTAGGCCAGGGCTTAAGCAGCGTTTTCTATAATACTGCCCTGCCTCCATCTTGTTTATTTAGTTAAATATATGTTTGGGTTCTCTTATTCTAATTTTCACAAAACCTCGTTTTCAATCTTTCTCTGTTATGAACAAATCCTCATATTCCTCTTCCAGATCACTAGGTTTTTCTTGAACTGCCTACCATTTAACAAATACTATTTTTCATTTCCATGATTATTTTTGTGTCCTTTTTCTTGTCCTCCTGTGGGTTATTTGAATTTTTAAATTCCTTTTTTATCTATATAGTGCTGTTGAGTGTATTTTTTGTATGTTTTCTTTTTAAATATGTCTACTGGTACCAACATTTTATAAGTCTTACCTCTCTCTAAGTTCTTTTGCCTTTCCCTGTACATAATGTAATTTCCTAAATACTTCTTCCACATACATTTGAACCACATAAAATGTTACTGTAATTTTTGACTCAACTATGAAACATGATTTAGAAAACACAAAAGACAACATGCCTTTATTCTTTTTATTTTTTCATCCTTCCTGATGTTTCACAATTATCCTATATAGTAAAAGTGTAATATGCTAAGTGTCCAACCGATTGGTTGACCATTTGTTCGACTGCTCAACCAGTCGCTATGAAAAGCACTGACCACCAGGGGGCAGATGCTTCAACCAGTAGGTTAGCTTGCGGCTGGGGTCTGGCTGATTGGGAATGGGTGAGAGGGCTGGACATGCTCTGGAGCCCTCCCACAGTCCCTCCCCAGCCAGCCGGCCCCCATGGTCCCAATCAGGGCTGGGAAAGACGGCCCTGATCGGCCCCAGATCGACAGCCGGGCAGACGGACCCCACTCATGCACAAATTCGTGCACCAGGCCTCTAGTACCTTTAATTATTTGCTTTCTGTTTCAGAAATTTCTTATAGACTTTATTTTAGGGTAGGTCTGCTGGTGACAAATTCTCTTAGTTTTACTTCAGATAAGAATGTCTAGATTTCCTCTTCATTCTGCTATGTCATTCCTGGGTTCTAAGATCCTCAGCTGGTCTGCTTTCATCCCCTCACCTTTCAGTCTTATGTTTATTTTACATGTAATTTTCAGGTTTTTAACTGTACTTAACAGAAGTACATGTGGTCATTTTCCAACATAGAAGTACTATTCGATTCATTTTGTGTGTGTTTCTTTTCCAATCGTTTGTTTTCTCTTTTAAATCACTACACTAAACCCTCGATTTTGCAGACCTAGATTTAACAAAGTTTCTGGTCCGTATGTCATATGTAAAAATTAACACCCTGTTAATTCTAAAATGCTTTTAAAACCAAGATTTGCTGACAATTAAATTAGCTGGTTATTTTTGGTATTAATTCACTGTTATTTTTAACAAATTTTAGTGAATAGGCTGTATGTTGGAAAAAACACTGTAATAATTTTGTCAACATAAGTAAAAATTACACATCTACAACTATAGTTTACATATTTAAATCCAAGAGTCACCAGTCATAAACAGTGTTTGGTGAATGATTAGCATATGATCATACCACATGACACCACCTGTGTGCATTTGTTTACTCGGGGTGACAGGTGATTTTAAAATTACTGTAATACATATAGAAAACTTTTCGGTGAAATCAAACTTTTTATACATACTTAATTTTAATTACATAAACATTTCTACATAAGTAAAAATAGGTAAACTACTTCGTCAATTTTTTAACATACACACAATCAGACAACCTAATTTATTATGTAATAGACTTTCGACTTTAACGAACTCCCCCACGCCCGAATTAGTCCAT